TTTATGCAGAAATTTTAAGAGAAAGTCACCTGGCTTTTTTAAGTACACCCTAATGGTTCAAGGGATTTGTTTAGATGGCTGAGTCTAGGAGATCAATCTTGCTCATTTAAGTCCTGTTTATAGTATCTTTAAATAAATGCATAGGAGAAAAATGGAATAGATTGGATCCAAGTTTTTGCCATTCAGATTAGCCAGTGGAGTGGCAAACTCATGGGAAAATTTGTTTGTACCAACAGTATTTGAGAAAAGTGAACTTTATTATTGGGAGATAATTCTCCATAGTTGTGTTACTGCACATTGTGATAGCAGAAATTTTCACTAGAGAGGGAAACTTACAGGTTCCCTAAACTCAGGGTTCCTTCACTGTCATGCAAGCCCACTACACCTATAGTATCCACCTGAACTGCTTCCCATTGCCTTGTGGGACTGGAGGTCAAGAGGAACTAACATTAATTTGAGACTCGTGCTTTTGTTGTGCCATGAGTATTAAAGTCCTCTCTATCTAATCCATTAGCACAGTGTATCCTGCCAGTATCCATGAAATTGATGTAAGCTAAATTGTTAACTTGCAAATAGGGTAAATTTTCAGACTGTTCACAATTCTTGATAACATTATATCACAATGCCTCTCTGTAAGAGATTCTGAGACTGCAGTTTTTCAACTGGGAATACTGTGGTCTCTATAAATTTGGTATTCTATTTGCAAAGGAAAAAAAAAAAAAAGACAGAATGGTTATTATCCCAGCCAACTAAACAAATCCTATGAACCATCAGAGTTTACTTTAAAAAGCCAGGTGGCTTTCTCCTTACATTTCAGCATAAACCTTTCTACTTGGCCAGAAGCATTAACTCAAGTACAAAAGGATTTATTTGTTGTTGCAAAGACTCCATTTTTCCCTACAAAGAGGATGCATCTTTTTCTGCTACAGATAGGTCAGATTATTTTGGCCCAATGACTCTCCTATTTCCATGCTTCCAATGATAACTAAACCTTTCTAATTGATTTGCAGTGTTTTTCCTTAGTGTTAGTATGTTGGAAACTTGCAGGCTTGAAGTCTCTCTTTAATGCAGAAGATTCTTTATTTATATTTTGAACATTTGTTTTTTATTTCACAGTTTGTCAGAAATTAATCCTTTTCTTATTTCTGTAGTGTCAAAATTCTGTAATGGTTGAAAGCAAGGATTATAAAAGAGACTATCAGTGTTTGAATTTGGTTTTCTCTATTTACTTATAGTAGGCTTCTCCCACTACCCAGTTATGTAAAAACAATATTATGTAAAAACAAACAGACAAACAAAAAGGCCCTCACTACCTTAGAAGGTCATTATGGGGATTAAATAAGATAATACATGTGGAACACTTAGACCACAGCCTGGATAGAGTAAATGTTCTCTATAAAATTATCCATTATTATTATATTCTTGAGTGATAGTTGATTGCAACTCCTTTAAACTCATATGTGGTTAAGATCATAGGCTCTGTCAGACTTTACATTTCAGATCTGACACTTAGCTACGTTTTTGTAAACAAGTTACCCATCAATTGTTTCTGTGTCCTTATTTGTAAAATTGTGACAGTAATATTACCTGTTTCATAGGGTTGTTGAGAGGATTAAATGATATAATATAAAATACTTATTCTAGTGCCTGACAAATAAAATGTTCAGATATATAATTTTTAATATATTAACTGCAGCAAGACTTGGTTACACTTTCTCTCTGTTTGCGTGTCTGTTTTTCATGTATTGTTGCCTCTTAAAATCCTACCTAACTTCCATAATGAAGACCAAAATTCACCTATAAGATCTTCTCTAAGAAGGCCTTAAACTTTTCCCAAGGCTGTCTTTAATCACTAATGCCAGAGTAAAACATTTTCTTCTTTATATACCACTAGCATTTAGTTCAAATCATCCATTAAACTTGCCCCACTATTTTCTCTATTAAGAGAAACATATAAATATTTACCATTTTTGTTAAGCAAACTTCTTAAAGGGTAAAACTACATTTTATAATACTTTTTAATCTCATACTTTGCATTGCACTTAAGCAAGTGAGCAATGAACATTTCCTGAAGGTCACATTTTTAAAAGCTCAACACTTCCTAACCTCTTTTCAAGCCTTAAAAAAAAAAGTCTTGAGACAATCCAAAGGTTTCATATTGTTTTCCTCTTTTCATTCATTTACTTAGAATCAAAGACGAGAATTTTCTTTGCTAAGGAAATTGAAGTAGACTTTTATATTGTCCTTTTAATTGCAATTAATCACTTTTGAAAAAAGGTTTCTCTAACTTGATATAGAAGCTAAAGTCTTTATGGGAAACTGTCGGGGGTGGGGGGTGGGATAGGCAGTTGAAGGAAACTGCTAAGGAAGGGAGGGGCATACCTCATCAACAAGGGTACCTGCATGATCAATGTCTGTATACCTAAGCCTGAACTGTACCCCACATCTTTATAATAAAAAATGTATATTTTTCTAAACAAAATATATCTTCAATAACATTTGGTCCCAGCAAGCTTCCTAACTCCATCTATAGATAATACTTAATTCACTCCTTAACGAAAGAAATTATTGATAACCAAGATGAAAGTCAAATGCAATTCCAATGTTTGAACTTAAAATGATGACACTGATGAATAGATATGTAAATACATGTAGCCCTCTTCAAAGTACAAGGCACTTGGATAGACCTTGGACCACAGCCCAATTTTTTACTTGCAAGATTTATCGTAAGTATTAAAGGAAATTTTTCTGTCATTAAACAAAGGTATTACTAGAAATAATTTTAATAATAAGGCAGGGTAATTTTTTATAAATTGTAAATTAAATAAATCAAAAAGCAAGATCATCACCAGAGTACAGAAAATTCCTACAACAAAGCCTGTATCTAACAGACGTTGACCCAGACAGACATTGCATGATTAATTCATCTTATTTACTCAGAAAAAAAAACCAGGAAAAAAGAATGAAAAATTTTAAATGTATGTACATGAGTCTGTGACTATGTATTTAGTGTACATTTTCAAAAATATATTTATCTCATCAATAACAAAAAGTCTTCTCTTATATAATTTTTCGACTGAAATCAACATATACTTGGAAATGAGCTAGCAAAAGATTTTCTTTCCTCATGGGCATTTATAATCAAAGAGTAAAATTCTCATTTTAATATTGTGAAAATGCCCTGACCAAATATTACTTTTCTGTTTTATTTTATTGTATTTTATTTTACAGGACTATTTTGATAGTACTAACTGAAAAGTGTTTCTCCCTCCTCAAGAAAGATTTCAGGTTTCAAAATTCACTATCTCAACTTATGTTTGATTGGAGACCATAAGAACACCATTGATGTTATAAAAGGTCATAAGTAATCTGACTGAAAGAAAATCGACAAAGGCGATTTTTATTCAGCACGTTGATTCCAGAGATAAAGAGTTTATTATGTCCATTAAATAATCCTATCAGCAAATTTCAGACTTGTGTTAGGTCCAGTCTTTACTTTTACTGATGGGCCAATTATTTTTATATCCTTTTTATTTCACTTATTCATTTCAGTCCCTAGGTCTTTGTTCTGTGACCCCTAAATAATGTGAATTAAGCAACAAAAATAAGGATTTCCGTCTTGGAGACAAAGGACGTGTATTGCTAGAGAGTGCACTGACTTTGGCTGAAGCCTACCCATCAAGTTTAATGGGAGTCTGGCTGCCAGAACCCCATGCAACCTTTGAATATTTAGGGCTAAATGTAACTGCCACTTGCTCTCCCTCCCTGGGAGTCCACAGGAGTTCTTTCTTATTTGTTGCTTCCCAGATTTCTGCCAACTTGTTTGTTCTCAGTTCTATTGATGGTACTTTCTGGCCTTCTCTTGTGTAACTGTTTTCCAGTGTTGTTTTGTTTATAATGCTGGGTAGTTTATAACAAGAAAGTCATTTTTTAAATGCTTATTTACTTATTTGCTAAGAAAAATAAGTTGTACTACAAAGAGTAAAATCCTCTTTGATTTTCTTTTGATAAAATTTAAAAACAGGACCCATCCATACTGAGCAGAAAATTTTTCCAAGAATCCTTCTCAAGACAACCTCTAAGAAAACAAGTTTCAAAACACACATTCTTTATTGAGATCTGTTCACTTCCCTTTATTTGGTCAAATTCATCTCTACTTTATTTCTCCTTCCTATGTCAAAACAAAAGAGGAAAATTTTATTTGAAGATCTCTGGGATCCAGTCAGTTAGAAAATAGGTAAATAAAATCAGAAAAAAGAAATTTAAACAAAAAAATATTATTTTGTTGACTTTTCTTAATGTAGCACAAGTAAATACACTGCAACAAAGCATTTTTCTCCTCAAATTATGGTAAATTTAGGGACAATGCTTTGCGTTTTATGTTGAAAGATTAAATATATTAAGCAGTTTTACTCTACCTGGTATTTTGTGAGATTTCACACTGTAGACAATATGCAGTGCTAAGTATAAGATTATATACTTTTAGTGATGCCACAAAGTTGTACTAGATATTAAAGTCTAACAGGGTGTATATATATCATTGTTTTGAACCAATTAATTAAAAGTAGTAATTTTTTTCAGTGTTCTTAGATTTACTCAAAATGATCTTCTGTATTCTATAGAAGCACACATTTTTTAAAAAGAGGAGAAAGACAGAGCTGTCTTTATGTCTTTAAAGACAATGCTGTCTATTATTTGAAAAATCAAGATGTATTGGTGTCAGATTCCTTTCAGAAACATTTGTAAACTGAGTGTTAGGTACAAGTATTTATTTTTAAATTTAACTTCATACAAAATAACCAACTTACTGATAGTAACAAAATTTTTGGTTGCTGTTGCTAGATTTGTAAGATTTGTAAAAAGAATATGACCAAACCAAACAAACAACACCCTACCACAAGTAACAGTAAGTAAGCTCCTTGAAATGTTTAAACATTTAATGCAATTGCTTCTCATGCAAATGTCAGTTTACAAAACTCACCCAGATTGCAAACACTTACCATATTCACTATCATAGAATATAATGAATTTCTGCCAGGCATACTCTGTGACCACTCTTAGGATAACGTCATTCAAGTAGACAGGTGGGCGAACCGAGAGAGTGTAGTCGTCATTCCTGTTGCTGCGGGTGAGTCCACAGCCACTTCTTGGGGTCCCAGCTGTTGACCGCTGAATGAAGAGATGGGGGATATGCATGGCATCTGCCAAAGACTGGAGGGATCCTGCTGACGTGCAGCCAATGGAGCTGACCAGGGCCAAGATACCTTGATTCATAAGTTCACATGCTGCAAGAAAGCACAGTAATATTCAAGGTGTCAATGAGTTTCACATAATTTCTCTTTTAAAAAACTCTGGATGGATTATCGAGTTATTATGTAATTATGCAATTTTTAAAAAGGAACATTCTATATGAGGAGATCCTCAAACTAAACGTGCTACTGGAATTCAGTTCAAGAACTATGCTCTGATTAGCTTTGTGACCTTGTGCAAATCATTTGGCTTTCCTTGGCTCAGTTTCATCATCTGTGAAGAGGGCAAAATAGCTTGAATCCTGGAATATCACAAGGATTAGAGATAATGCCGTCTGTTATTTGCTTCTCACATGACAGATATTCAATTAGTAGCAGTTAAACATTGATCACTATTAATTTATAATTCAGAGAAAAGAAAATTCCCTAATGAGTGTATAATACAAGACTTTTGAAAAGTAGATAATATGTAAACAGGTGAGTAAATAAAGGGGAGATAAATGTTTAGAGGAAGATATATCTGGCCATTGAAAACAGTGCCATTCTGGTATTTGGAATCTTGATGACTCAACTTTCTATAAAGTAATTAAAATGCTTTTGTTATTTTCTTTGACAGTCAGAAAACTCATGGTCAAATCAAATGCTAAGTTTCAGCAACTATCTTGTTCTGGTTCCCAGTTGAACAATTTATAGTTTCTACTATTTGATTTATAATCTCTATATTGATTTCATTTTAACTATTCTAAGTATGTATTTCAAGATGTATTTAAAATTAGAACAAATAAAATATGAGTAAATATATAGAAAAAAGAGTTAAGAAGTGATGTCTTATAATGCCAATGTTTGAAAATAAAAGATTAAAAATGAATGCAAAAATAAAACCGGAGTTAAGACAAAAATTATTTCCATATGAGAAGCTCAGTGTTATAATTGATTCCAATTTATTTTAGATTTTAAGCATTCTAGGTATAACATTCTTAAGATTCAAACTTTCTTAGAGATTGTTTTACATAATTCTTGAAAACCATAAAGGAAAATCTAGATGGTAAGTGCTTGTATGTAATTAATTGGCCAGATAATGATTTAATAGTGCAAGTTTAGAAGTACTATACTAATGATAAGCTCATAAACATCTAATGAATTTATTATTACTAATGTTAAACCAACCAATGCATGCAAAACAACTGAATAATTATTAGAGACATATTCTTAAAGCATAGCCTCATGAGAGAGATTATGTTGATTTCAAATAATTGTGAAAGTTAGCATCAGAGATACTATTCTATTTAGACCATGACAGATTGAAGTTGAAATTTTAGTAGAAATCACGCATTCTACTCATTTGCATAAATTCAACTTTTATAGAAAGCAATATACACTTATACTTATATTTTCAATGTATTAACACAAAAAATTTGGTTAAATTTTTCATTATTGTGGTAAATAAGGCCATTACTAATTTATATAAGTAAATAGAAATTCAATTTCAAAAAATATTTTGTTTAAAGGTTTAGCTCATTTAGCAATGAACATCAAAATAAGAAGAGTGCCTTAAGGCATACACAGTTAAATTCAATCTTTAGGTTACACTAATTACAGGTGATTAAGTAAATATAACATTGTACATACCTCTCCCACAAAAGTTATAACATTGCAAATATAGGAGTTTGAGGGAAAAATTGTCTGTATTATTCTTCAGATTTAGAAGGATAAACTCCAAAATGAAATGTCATATAGTAATCTTTATTAGCAGATACATTTACTATAGTGTATAATCTTGTTTCTTCCAATCAACCATGTTACTTCCTATTAATCCCTGATAGTAAAAACACAAACCAAGTAAAATACTAAAACCAGTTATGAATTTTTATATAAACAAATATGCTATTTTTTGATTACTATGTGGTATTATCTATCCTGCTACACATATTAACAAGAATAACGGAAATTTCCCTCTAAAAATCAAAATAGGAATCATCAAAAATTGGAGTCAGAAAACATACGCCAGACCTTAGAAATAACTCAAAGATCATGTAGGCCAGGGATGGAAAATTGGCTTTGCCTGCTGTGCTTACCATGACTTCTTGTAAATTGGCATTTTGGAACACAATTTTGAGAAAGATTCTGAGATTCAATTAAAAAAAAAAATACCCAAATTATTTTTTGAGTTTTCTCATAGGAAGAGACTGGGAGAGTAGTGGCCTACAAGTTATAAAGGTGCATCTCACAGATGGCACCCAACTGTTTATAGTCAAGAAATCACACACACTCTCTGTAACAAAACAAAACAAGAAAACCAAAGAAGAGGAAGAAGGAGGAGGAAGAGGAGGAGAAGGGAAAGAAGAGGAGGAAAGGGAGGAGGTGGGAGAGTAAGAGTAAGAAGAAGAAGGAGGAGGAGGAGGAGAAGGAGGAGGAATGAAGAAGAGGAAGAAGATGGCCCAGCGCTCTAACCCATGGTCCACTGTCCATTTCACCACAACAAACAATCATCAGAGAATCTTTTATTCATACCCTTAAGATTTTACAGGCAAAGAAGAGAGAGAGTTCTCCATAGGGACAAACTCAACTGGAGACAGTCTATTGTCACATTTGGTGACAAGGGTTAGTATACTGAGAAAGAGAGGAAGAGCTCTCACACAACCAAAATGGGTTAGGACTGGATGACCCCAAACACAACCCCACTAGTGCACAAATATTAATGGGCCTGTTTGGTAATCTCTCATTTCTCCTTCAAGGCTGATTTGATGCTCATTTTTGCCCTATTTTTTTACCAATGCAAAATGTCAGTTGAAGTATAGAAGGTACAAACTAATTCACTATGAATCCCCCACCCATAGAGCCCTAAGGTTAGTATGAAATATAGACTATAACTTATGACAGCTGGAGAAAGAGTTCAGAGAATAAAGGGCTGCACCAAGAAAAGAAGCAAAGCTTAGTAAGGCAATTTACCCTTTGTGGGAATTCTATGCCTTGACTGTTAAAAAACTGCATTATTTTGAATATTAGTTCCATAGAATACATGCATCAGCTAATTGGATAGAGTGTGAGAACTGAATTTGAAAGATCAGTGTGTGTGTGTGTGTGTGTGTGTGTGTGTGTGTGTGTGTGCGCACGCGCGTTTGCATGTAGCCATAACTTTTATATTAAAATAATCTAAGGCAAAAGCATATTTCTCAAAAGCATATTTCTTCCTCATTATTATCCCAAGCACTGTGATTTATTTATACTACGCATGCACATACACACAAACATCCATCCATACCTATAGATCATACTGAACAGTGTGCTGGTTTTGTGACTCTAGCTGTTTGAGATTTTCAATACTATCCAAGATGTTTGGAGCCTACACTAACTGCTGAAGGCAAACTTATTGTTATTTTTTTTAAGCATTTTGAATCAGCAACACATTTTATTTGTTGTGGTCATTCGGCAGTTACAAAATTGAACACAGCTGTTCCTGTGCACTATATTTTTCATTTCTGAAGCAAACAAGCTTGGTACTTCTTTTTCTTATTAAGTAAAATGAGATTAAAAATAAAATCTAGTTGGGCACAGTTGCTCATGTTGTAATCCCAGCAATTTGTGAGGCCAAGGTAGGCGGATTGCTTGAGTTCAGGAATTTGAGACCAGCCTGAGCAATAGCAAAACTTCATCTATAAAAAACCAAACCAAACCAAACCAAAACAAAACAAAAATTAGCCAGGTGTGGTGGCACACACCTGTAATCCCAGCTACTCAAGATACTGAGGTGGAAGGATCGCTTAAGCCCAGGAGGTCGTTGTGATCATGCCACTGCAGAGTGAAAACCCTACTAAAAAATAAATAAAGTTTATAAAGGTTTTGGATATTGATTACCTGTTTTTATTTTATTTTAGACATATGGGGTACACATGAGAATAAACTACATAGGTAGGCTGCATGCAGGTGAAGTTTGGGTTTCCAATTGGCCCTCATTCCCCTGGTAGTGAACCTGGTATGTTTTGTGTTGTCAGGTATCTCTTACCCTCCTCTCTATCTCCCTCCCTCTCTCCCTTAGCAGTGCCCAGTGACTCCTGATCTCTCCCTTGTGTTCATGTGATTATTTTTCAGGGCCCACTTATGAGTGAGAACATGAAGTATTCAGTTCTTCAGGTCTGTGATAGATCATTTAGTATGGTGGTCTTTAACTCCTTCCAATTTGCTTAAAAGGCCATGGTTTTGTTCTTCTTTATGATTGTGTAATACTCCATCATTTATATGTACCACATTTCTTTATCCAGTTCACTTTCGAGGGAGCAGTAAGGTTGATTCCATGTTTTAGCTATTGTGAATAGTGTGGCAGTTAACATATGTATGCAGATGTCTTTTTGGTAGAGTGACATCTGTTCCTCTGGGTATATTCCCAGGAGAAGGATTGCTGGATTAGATAGAATGTCAATTTTTAGTTCTTTTAGGAGTCACCACAAAGCTTTCCACAGAGGTTGAACTAGTTTGCACTCCCACCAACAATGTAGAAGCATTCCCTTTTCACAGCCCCAGGTACGTCTGGTTTTTTTTTTTGACTTATTAATAATGGCCATCCTTACCAGAGTTAGGTAGTATCTCATTGTAGCTTTGATTTGTATTTCTCTGATGATTAGGGAGACTGAGCATTTTTTCATGACTGCTTGTATGTTTTCTTCATGTCCTTTGTTCACTTTTTAATGGAGTTGTTAGTTTTTTTCCTTTTACTTTGAGTTTCTTGTAGATCCTGGATGTTGTTTTGTGGGCTGTCTCCTTACTTTCCTAATGGTTTCTTTTGCTGTGTAAAAGCTTTTCAGTTTGATAAAGTCTTGTCTTTTATGGCATTCACTTTCGGGAACTTGGTCAAGAATTGGTTGCCTACTCAAATATGCATAAGGGTGTTTCCTATGTTTTCTTCTAGGATTCTTATAGTTTGAGGTTTTACATCTAGGTATTTGATTTATTTTGAATTGATTTTTGTATATGTGGTCAGCTAGTTTTCCCAGCACCATTTGCTAAATATGATCTCCTTTCCCCAGTACTTGCTATTGGTG